TGTACTTAAACTGCATGGAGTTTGCTCTGCTTTGTGTTCTAATTTTGTTTGATTAACAGCAAAACTATATCTAGACCTTAGACAAAAGCCAAAGAAGAAAAACATTTAGGAAATAACTAATTAATCCCATTTGCAAAAACCTTAATTAACACTGCTAAATCTTTTCAACACATAAATTTTTTTAAAAAAACGGTAATTCTATTGCTTCTCAAATGCAGCGTTAAAGTACAAAAAAAAATTGGTTAACCATTAATCCTGCTAATAAGTAACAACACAATTCTATCTGTGTCTATTCAGAAGTAAGCCTCTGAAGGATTAATGCAATTTCGTACCCTCTAATTTCAGAATAAAGCTTTACCAGACTCAGTGGGATTTACTTTTAGTAAGCAGGTACGTGATTGTGCTGCAAGACTCCAATGTTTGTGCTTTTTCCTGAGAACTGAGATTAATTTCCGAGTAGATATCAAGACAATATGCAAAATGAAGTTTCTTGTTCTAAATATTTCTTAATACTTTACTGATCGGTTTACCAATTTTTGACCCATCAAGTGCTCAATCTTACCAAAGTAATATTGCTATACAATCTGAAAAACAGATTCAGACTGTGATTCTAAACACTATCATACGAACATGTTATTATTTGCCTCACATATAGTTGGGTTGGGTTGTTTAAACAATACTGAAACTTTGGACATATATAATCTTTAAAGTCAGAATTTCCAATTAGGACAAATCCTATTCAGCTTTAAAAATTGTTTATAGCAGCCTTCCCAATCCCATTGATAAGTTTAAATTCTGATTCCCAAAATTCCCCAAGTAGCATGTTTTCAACTATAATTCCCACATCATCAATTAGCATCACAGAACAGCCTTAGGATGCATATCACCAGTTACCTTATAGTCTCTCTCCCTCCCTCCCTCTCCCTCTCCCTCTCTCTTTGTAATATTTGTTCTGCATGGGGAAAAGGAAGTGCTAATGATGGTCTTGGTTATTAGAGTAAATGGAGTGGGGGAAAAGTAAGATTTTTTTTTTTAAAAAAAGAACAAGATCAAACTCAAAGACTGGGCTACTAAGAGGAAGCTATCATCAAGGTCAACAGAATCCCAATATTTGGGTAGCTTTGGTGGCCCCAGATAGCTGGGCTTCAACACCCAAAATCTTCAAACTTCCATTTGCTTTGCTGAGAATGATGAATCTTGAAATTCACACATCAAGAGGGCACACGGTGAGTTAAGACTGTACTTGTACAGAGACAGAAAATGGAAAGGGAGGGGAAAGAGCAGGGTCAGGCAACCCGGTATTTTTAAATTACATTAGCCACAATGCCTTCCCCATTAGCCACTAATGAGAATCCAAAACTTCTGGAGAACAGCAAAAAGATAACATTCTAGAAGACAGACTAACAGAATGTCAAGACGTAGTCTAAGTTTCAAAGTTTCCTTTTTCTGTTCTGAGAAATAATGATAGAATAACAGAATAACAGTTGGAGATCTTCTACATCCACTCCCTGCTCAAACAGGAGACCTTTACCATGTCAGACCAATGGCTGTCCAATCTTTTTGTTAAAAACCTCCTGTGATGGAGCACCCACAACTTCTGGAGGCAAGTTGTTCCATTGATTAATTGTTCTAACTGTCAGGAAATTTCTCCTTAGTTCTAGGTTGCTTCTCTCCTTGATTAGTTTCCATCCGTTGCTTCTTGTCCTGCCTTGAGGTGCTTTGAATAATAATAATAATAATAATAATAATAATAATAATAATAATAATAATAATAATAATAATAATAATAATAATAATAATAATAATAATAATAATGATAAGTTGGAAGGGACCTTGGAGGTCATCTAATCCAACCCCCTGCTCAGGCAGGAAACCCTATACCATTTCGGACAAATGGCTGTCCAGTTTTTTCTTTAAAACTTCCAGTGTTGGCACATTCACCGCTTCTGGAGGCAGGTTGTTCCATTGGTTAATTGTTCTAACTGTCAGGAAGTTTCTCCTTAGTTCTAGGTTGCTTCTCTCTTTGGTTAGCTTCCACCCGTTGCTCCTTGTTCTGCCTTCAGGCGCTTTGGAAAATACTAGAAGGGTAGACGTACCCAGTTCATGCAACAGTTCTTCATAAGTTGACATTGTAAATACAACACTCTGTTAAGAATGCAGGTTGAATGTAATATTGTATTGCCTTGTTAGTTTTTAGTTATTTACCAAAAATGTCAGAATGAAAAACTATATAAAGCAATGCAGCATAAGCTGCCTGTACATTCCACTGCGTTGGCATTTAATACTGTATGACATTCAGTACAGAGTGCCTCACAGATAAGTGAGATAAGCTATCAAAGCAATCAAATTAACAAGTCAGAGCAGTTTAGTAAGAGACACAGAAGTTCTCTTTCTAAAAGGTTTCCTTTTTCTCTCAGATGATGCCCAACTTACAAAGAGGGAAAGCTAAGCATATAGGAACAAAAGCATGTTATCTCATTTAAGCAAAAAGAAAAGGGAAATATACCATACTTGGATATACTTGAAATATACTTGGAATATATTTGGAATACTGCATCCAATTTTGGTGGCCACAATATAGAAAAGATGTGGAGACTCTGGAAAGAGTGCAGAGAAGAGCAACAAAGATTATTAGGGGGCTGGAGGCTAAAACATATGAAGAACTGTTGCAAGAATAGGGTATGTCTTGTCTAGTGGAAAGTAGGACTAGGGGCCATATGATAGCAGTGTTCCAATATTTGAGGGGCTGTCACAAAGAAAAGGGGGTCAACGTATTGCACGTAAAGCATCAGAAGGCAAGACAAGAAGCAATGGCTGGAAACTAACCAAGGAGAGAAACAATCTAGAACTAAGGAGGATCTTCCTGACAGAACAGTGGAACAGCTTGCCTTCAGAAATGGTAGGTGCTTCATCATTGGAGGCTTTTAAAAAGAGACTGGACAGCTATTTGTCTGAAATGGTATACGATAGGGTCCCCAACCCCTGGTCCATGGAACGGTACCGGGCTGTGGCATGTCAGCAACTGGTCCTCACAAACAAGCAAAGCCTCATCCGTGAGATGCAGGCAGCACTGAAAACCATGTGCTCTCCGGTCTGTGGAAAAACCTTTCTCCACGGAACCGATCCCTGGTGCCCAAAAGGTTAGGGACCTTCCGGTATAGGAGACACACAGTTCTGACCTGATGAAATCTCCAATGCAATTTGCAATATGCTTTACAGCAGAGGTAGTCAACCTTGGCTCTTTTATGACTCGTGGACTTCAACTCCCAGCTGTGCTGGCTCAGGAATTCTGGGAGTTGAAGTCCACGAGTCATAAAAGAGCCAAGGTTGACTACCCCTGCTTTACAGTCTGTCACTGTTGTTTAACATTATCTTTCCCAAACTATGTTTTAAGTGGATCTCTTACCTTCAAGAACACCACCATACAGAAACGTTAAGAACATAATGGGATTTTTAAAAAAATCTCTTAACAAAAAGAAATGGCCAAATGCTTTCACGATGTGGAGCAAATCTATGCAGGCTTTAAAGGAATCTCAAAAAGTAGGGTTTAATTGGGATTGTACAGAAATGATTTTATAAACAGAAAATGAGGACAGTATGTAGCTCATACAAATGTTGTGATATTTGTTAGACCTCTACAAAACTACAAACTTACTTTTAGAAGCTGAAAGGGGCTACAGATTTTTTTCCCCAACACAGCTATTTTTCTTTCTTTCTATTTCAGTTTTTAAAAAAAAAAAAAAAAAAAAAATCAAACAGGAGGAAACGAACCTTTAGCTAAAGGGAGTGAGAATCCCCTCGAATAATGGTGCCAGTTCATTTTTAAGCAATTTTTGTTTTACAACTGATTTTGAATTGCAAATTTTAAAACTCTGTTAATAGTAGGAGCGAGTAAAATGGAAATAAAAAATAAAGCTGTCGAGAACAAAATGTAGCCAATCAATTGTCACAGTGATATGCGTTATATCCACGAAGTTGGCCAACACGGCCTACAAATTCACCAGACCACAGGCTAAATCACTCCAAAGAATAAGGGCAGGGCCCCTATTCTGACCGAACCTGACACTTTGGATCACTTTGGACACCCTTGCCAAAGAACACAGCCCCCCTCAGGTAAGATGCAAAGGCTCCAGCAAAGGCAACTCATTTCTAGCAATCCAGCAGAACAAATCCACCTTATCTGAGGGAGGTGGGGGGGGGGGGAAAGGTTCCTCCACCTTCAGCAACGTGGCACAAATGATTCATCATCTGACATCCCCTTTGCAGGATACAGGACAACATTTTGGAACTTTTCCATCAGGTCACTAAACAAAGTAGCTCTGGAAGGTAGGAGAAATTAACTGAGCAGGAAGTGCATGACTGCCACAGAAAAAAAAAACAGGTTTTTCCCCAAACCATTTATATACGCACTGTTGACCAGAATTAATGTCCTCATCCCATTATTCTCTATCTGTGAACTCAAGACAGATTTCCTCCTGAACAATTGGGCATAACAGCAACTGCGAAATAAGCTCCGTCGCGACTTTAGGCACACAGCTGCTCTACGTAAAACAGACATTTGAGCAAGCGGGAATGGACCAAATCGAGACGCAGCAGCTCTCCTTCTCCTTCTCACGAAGTCGGAAAAGCCAAGTTGGCTGAACGCGGGAGGGCAACGCGCTCCGGGCTGGCCGAGAAACTTCTCCGCTCCGCGCTGGGCCGGCGCTTCCCAGTTGGAAAGCGGGTAGCGGCGGGAAGATCCCGAAGGAAAAGAGCGAGCGAGCGAGGGGCTTTTGAGAGGAGGCAGGCAGGGCCCGAAAGAGACAGGAACAGGAAAGGGTGGGGGAATAAAGTGGGGGACTCAAAGCAACGAGGCGCGCTGGGGCAACGGGTAAGCGAGGCTTCGAGAAGTGAAAGGCAAAGGGCGGCCGGCTGAAACTGCGGGGAACCGCGGGGCGAAGCGAAAGCCGGGCTGGGCGAGAAGCGGGGCGAGCTCTTCGGCGAGGGAGCTCCGCACTTACCCAGCAAAGGGGAAGGGTCGGGGCAGTCCGCGGCGGGCTTGGAGATATTCCCCGAGAGGTCCGCCTCCGTCACCCGACGGCCGAAGGTTTGGCTGCGCGGCGGCGGCTCCGGGCTCCGCTGCTGACCGAGCGTGTTGCCCCTCAGGTAGTAGAAGAGCACAGCCGAGAGGTGGAGGGCACAGAAGACCACCAGCAGGCGGCAAGCCTTCTGCAGCGAGGCGCCGGGCAGCTCCATCCTGGGCAGAACTTTATTGCGACGAGCCGGGCACGCGGGGACGCCTCATGGCTGCTGCGCCCGGGAGCAGCAGGCCGAAGCGGCGGGGAAACCGCGAACAGCGCTCAGCCGCTCGCCTGCCAGCTGCAGCCTACCCGCCGGGGAAGGAGGAAAGTCGTAATGTCAGGCTGAGGCTCCTCCTCCTCCTCCTCCTCTTCTCCAGCTGCTACTGTTGGGGCCCCTCCTCCCGGGGCGAAGGTTGCGCCATCTCGGCTCCCGCTCGGCCCCGCCGAGCCTGAGACGAAGGGTGCGTCCGTCGATGTTCCCGGCTCTGAGCGGAAGAGGCTTAACAGTGGCCCGGTTTGGGGCCTTGGCCATCACGAGTTTGGGCTCGCGCTTCAATTTAGCGCAGGCTGGCACGCACGCACGCAACCCCGGGGAACTCACAGAGGCGCCCGCCGGTTTTGTTGGCTACCTGTGGCGTCAACTGGTGGTGGTTTCGCCGGAGTGAAAGAGAGTTTGGTTTATAACAGGATGGACTGAAGTTTGGGGTTTAATCAAAACAAGCCAAAGTGTGCTTCATCGGGGTTTAACTGAATAATAAATCATATTAGCTACGCCTGGTTTACCACCACACAGGCTGGCTTAACACAACACACAAGCGGCTAGCCCAGGGGTAGGCAACCTCGGCTCTTTTATGACTCATGGACTTCAACTCCCAGAATTCCTGAGTCAGCTAAGCTGACTCAGGAATTCTGGGAGTTGAAGTCCATGAGTCATAAAAGAGCCGAGGTTGCCTACCCCTGGGCTAGCCCTATAAACCACATTCTGACTTTGAGGATAGTGTGAGCTATTGGAGAAGCCGCAATGAACCCAGTACTACTCAGTGGGATTTACTTTTGAGTAGTAAAGGCAGAAGCTCCTGGGAGACAGAACATTTAGTTTCACAACTGCCCACCTGTATTAAGGATCTCACATTAAGCCTTGTCCCTGGTGGAAAAAATCTCTTCTTTAGAGCCCGGAACTTTTCAAATCCAGAAGTGGCACTTCTCCTATTGTTTAGATGTTTTTTATCCCACGTTTATTATTTTTATAAAATTTTTATGTAGGTTTCTGCACCATTCACTAAGTGCAGCCTGCCACACCATGTGGAACAGACTTGTAGAACATGATTGTTTTGTTTTCTGCTCACCTTCCCATCATGAATGTAGCTTTTGTTCTGTGGGAAGTCAGCCCGCCCAGAGAAGGAAATATTAAAAGGACAGAAAAATATATTTCCGCAAAGGATCTTAAAGAGGCAGAAAAGCATGCCCAGTTTTCTTAATAGTCCCAAGTCTCCCCCAAGCAGAAACCAGCTCTGTAGAAATGCAGATATAAATAATTCAGGAAGGTTGAAGCTAGAAGATTAAGAAGACAAAGACACCTAAAATCTACATATCCCACCCAAACTCTAAGACAGGACATAATAGGATTAACCCACAGATGCCCACTCAGACTCAGGCCAAAGTTCATGCCACAGGAACAACTCCAAACAAAAGGCTCCAGAGGGTATAAAAACCCACTCCCTACGTGTGCTTGCTCTCTTTTCTTCCAGAGCCATCTTCCTATCTGGCTCTCCTCTTCAATAAACTGCAAACTTTCTAAAGCAGTCGCCATGTTGTTTATTCCCAGCTTGGACCGAACCATGATGGAGACTTTTCCTTCAACAGTTCTTTTTAGTAGGAAGTGGTGTGAGTTGTTTTGTTTGCTTGCTTTCAGTTTTGTTGCACAAGCCATGCCATTTCATCCATCTGCAAGGCTTCATTCAAAGTAAGGTAAAATGCCTTGGCTCCTACTTATTGCCCTTTCACTATTGGTAATGCTCTTTTGCCGTGGGTCTTGGGCTATCAAGATGTTTGTGTCCCTTCGGGGAGGTTTTCCACATGAAGCCTGAGCTGGGCTTTGCTTTGCAAGCCATATGTCAGGCATTACATGGGCTCTTTTTATATTAGAAAACACTGGTACCCCAGTTCACATCGCACCACCAGAAACCCAAGCCACCAGTATACTACCACTAAATGAAATGTGCATAGATCATTCAGAGGGGAGAAAGCTTATTCAAACAAGCTTGCGGTATTCTTCAATCCCATGTTGGGAAGTACAGTATGAAAACTATGCCTTGTGGTGAGAGAATTATTATACTTGTGCACGGGTTCCAACTCAAGACTTCCCAGATTCTTCATACTTAAATACCATTATGAATTTTGAATACGTGAGTACAGATTTCTCAATTTCAGTTGCTGTGGGATAACTACAAATCACCTCTAAGGTATATCTATAGCAAAGTATCAATTGCTTGGAGGTTATCGATATATATTTAGTCCACATTCAGCACCCCTTCTTTCTTTACCCTCTCTCTTGTAGCACAATATTTTAAAAGTACCTCATTTCCACTGAATTAATTGTTGATATTTTTCCTGAATCATGCAGTTCTTACTTCCACATAACAAAGTGGTTAAAAACGCACTGTTCTGTTCATCCCATTCCCTTTGTTTTCACAAACATTCATTCTTGGAACAGACCACTACCTCCCCACCAGCATTTATACATTTTAAAATATCTCAATCTGTTTTTTCTTCTTTTGTAAACATTGTACCAAATTCGATTATAGGCGGCCCTCAACTTACAATCATAACTGAGTCCAAAATACCTGTTGCTAAGTGAAACATTTGTTAAGTGAATTTTGCCCCATTTTACGACGTTTCTTGCCACAGTTGCTGAGTGAATCACTGCAGTTATTAAGTTAGCAACACAGTTCTTAAGTGAATTTGGCTTCCTCGTTGACTTTGCTTGTAAAAAGGTCGCGAAAAGTGATCACCTGACCCCGGGACACTGCAACCCGTCACAAATATGAATCAGTTGCCAAGCATCCAAATTTTGATCACGTGACCATGGAGATGCTGCAACGGTTGTAAGTGTGAAAAATGGTCATAAGTCATTTTTTTCAGTGCCGTTGTAATTTTGAATGGTCACTAAATGAACTGTTATAAGTCAAGGACTTGCTTTAGGTTTATGTCATTTATGTATGCATATCTTTCATATATGCATACCTTGCACTTTCCATGACAAACAGAACCAACTTCTTCTCTAATTCACTTTCAGAGTTATACTGCCTGTGGCATCATAAAATAATTTGTTGCAAATCATTCACTATCCCAGTTAACAACAGTGTCTTTTGGTTTACAAAATTGTACATGCATTCACTTCCTCACCCAGCTAATCTCTACCTTCAAGCTTTCCTTATACATTTACCCATAAATGATTAAACAACTAAGGGGCTATCATACCTGCTTGTCCTATTTCCTGTTGGATTGTTCATATTAACTCTTGCATCTGCTTAATTCCATTATATGCAGCTGTTATCATATTCAGCCACCAAATATCAAATCCATATTTGCATAAAACATTCCATCATTCAAGCCAATTAATTTATCAGTTGCTCACTCTTCACCAAGCAAAGGGCAATTGCCTTTCTCACATTTATGTTCTTTGCAGTGATTTGCTACAAAATAAAAATCTGGCCCACATTCCCTGTTCCTGCCTAGCATAAAATCTGCCTTTCCAAAAATTTATTCATTGTCACCTTTCATATCTTGTCAGTCAGAATTCTGCCGAAGACCTTCTGAGGCACGTGTGGTATAAAAAACAAATTCCCCTATACTTAGTTTGCTATACAGTAGTGGCCAAAATTGTGGAAACCTTTTGGGAAAAGTGTATTTTTGAAGTTTGATGGCTAATAACACCACTTTTTTTGTGGAGAAGTACCATAAAATTATATATCAATGGAAAGATAATTTAATCAAGAATGTAATGCAACATAGTATGTTCAATTATCTGTACTGTATTCTATGAAAGGTTATAGCCAAATAACCAGAAAAAGGAAGCACAACTTGCTTGTTGATATTAGGTAGCTTTCCTTCATCTGATTGTAGCCAATGAGCATGAGTGTTTAGAGAGCCAATCAGGTGTCATCTTGTTTTGGCAATGAGCCAATTAGATCACAGTAGGATTCAGTTATTGATGTCATGTATTGAAGCTGAGAGGAGGACATTTGTCAGTGTGTTATGTGATCGCTATCGAGTTGGTTGCGTTTTTTTGTGTTCTTTCATTTAGTGAGCTTCTAAAACGTAATGAAATTAAAGTAATGGTGCAAAGAGTTGACTGGTTGCCCAGAAAGTGATGTAAAATAGTATTATTAAGAGAACAAGGCTACAGTTATAAATAAATTAGAATAAAAGTTGGTAGAAACTTAACCAAAGGTGGTATTTCTACTGTGCACTTTTCCCAAAAGGTTTCTACAATTTTGACCACTACTGTACCTTCAGCCTTGATCTGAGAATCAGTGACTGCTTGTTTCTAATTGTTAGGCATCAAAGCAGTCTTCACATGCGTTATGCAAATCCTACAGCCACCATATGCAAACTGTATCAACCATTTAACTTTTAATAACATCTTTATTTCCAGCTGCCCTCTTGCTCTTTTTTGAGCATTCTCGCATAATTTATAACTTTTATTTATCTTTTTTGTTTTGGACACTAACACCTATAGCATTTGTTTCAATATTACTCCTTAATGTATCACAATGATTTCTATGCAAATCTCTGAACTACTTCTTTCATCACTCCCTCACTTCAATTTCATTCCATTTTTTATTTTTAATTCCAGGCATGCTTCTGGATGCTTCCTATTTAGTCTTGACAGACTTCCAGACTTTTTTTTATTTCCATCAAAATCACTCTATCTCTTCCTTTCCTGTTTAAGGTTAAACATTATTTGATTCCACTGAATATATTGTATGTGAATATGTTCTGGTCTTTCTCTGAAGTATATTTTTCACAGCATTCCTTCTCTTAGATATATTTTTCCACTAGAATGGCACATTGTATTAAGCCAAATAATCAAAACATTAATATGGTATGAGTATCTCTATGGGGTCTTTGGTGCTGTCTAAGCTTGGGGGTTTTCTTGCAGATGTTTCATTACTTAACTAGATAACATCGCACATTGAGCACTGATGATGTTACCTAGTTTGGTAATGAAATGTCT